GAATTTCATTTTGATATTATTTATAATATAAATTGCAATCTACATAATTGATACTTTGTTTGATGAACTAAATTGCATTTAATTCATAAGAGTTTCAGTATATGAAGTCATTGTGGAATTTTTTAAAGATATAGAAGTATTTTTTCTCCAACAATCAGTAATTTGTATTTACCTGTATAATTTTTCAATAAATCTCATAAAATACTTAAAATAGATTTAAAAATAAAATAATTATTTTTTAGATTTTATTAGTGCAATCTAATTTATTTTATCTACTTAAAGTTTTTAAAGTGACAAAAGAGCAAATATTATGGGCAAAAATAAAAAAAGGGTATAGGTTTCACATTTTTACAATTTTCAAAAAAAATGTTTCAAAAAGCTGAATTTGCTGAATTAATGAGTCGAAAAAGCATAAAAGTTGATGATATTATCAAAGAACATTTGAGAACATCAAGAAGAACATCAAGAAGAACATCAAGAAGAACATCAAGAGAAGATTAAAGTTTAGGATATTAAATTAAGTTGAAAGAAAAAGAAGAAAAAGGTCAAGAAATTAGAAAAAAATGTTATTAATGGTATGACAGTTTAGCAAAATGATATAAAACATAAAGAAAAAAATATTGTTATATTTGGCATAACGAAATCATACAAACTTGGCATTAACGAAAAAGAATTGGACAATAATGGGGCTGTTTTAAAAATTTTTGAGGAGATAAGTGCTCATAGCCTTAAAATTACACGAACTCAAAGTTAAAAAAAACATAAATGATAAAAATCCTAGCTTATTATTAGTCAAACTTCAAAGCAAAGATGATTGCATTGCGGTAATTAAAACAGCAAAGAAATTAAGAAAAAGTACTTACTTCAAAAATGTTCATATAAACCATGATTTAACATCAACTTAATCACAATACTAAATGAACGTTTTTGAATGAATATTTTTAAAACAAATACTAAAATAAACATTCAAATGAATATTTTTAAAATTAATATTAAATCGACTTAATAATGACTTATAATAAAAACATAAAAGATTGTAGATATTCAGAATAACAACATCATCAAATTTCCAACAAGCAAAAATTTATAATTTTCTTGGATCAAAAAATATAAAAGAATCTATTAAATTTATTTATGATTATCTGTTTCATGAGACTGTTTAAAGTTTTAAAAAAAATATCCACAATTTAAAAACAAAATGCATATAAACCAAAAAAATAATTTTAAACCAGACTTAAAGTCTGACTTAAATCATTTTCATACTCATGTCACTTCCTTAAATAATAAAATAGATGAATTGTGTTACACCATCAAGACATATTTTCCAGATTTAATCTGCATTGCTGAAACTTGGTTTAACGAACTCTCTAATACACATTTAGAAAAATATGTATTGTATCATTGTGATGGTACAAATTGAAAAATCAGAGAAGGGGTTGCCATTTATGTAAAAAGTCAAATAAACTCAATATGAAGTCGCACTGACAACTATAAACCATATAGACACTGAACAAGTTTGGGCTTGTCTAAATTTTGGAATCAAAAAGATTTTAATAGATTGTATTTGCAAGCCGTCGAATTCAAACGAACTTACTAATGATAAAATTATAAATATAAAAAATGCCAAAAAACTAATTGAAAAAAAGATCTTTACAGATCTTATAATTACATGTAATTATAATTACAATGCAATTAGATGGTTGTTAAAAAAAGCCTTACCATTTGGTGCTCAGGCTGAAAAATTTATTAATTATTTTGATAAATGTTTTTTAAACCAATGCATTGTAAATCCAACATTTCGAAAAGCCACTTGTCATGAAACAAACATACTAGATTTGATAATAGTAAATAATGCCAATAGCGGCAAATGGATTCAATATAGAACTCCTTTAGGGAACAGAAATTAAGGACATCCTGTAATAACATGGCAATATATTATAAGTAAAACATATGTAAGCAAGACTAGCACCTTTAAATAAAATTATAAATTGGGAAATTATCTTGAGATATCAAACTATATACACTTGATAAATGGGAATATTCTTTTCTTGAACAAAATTATAAATAATTGTTGTGAGCATTTCAATTATCATTATTAAACAGCTTGTAAAAAATTTATTCTTTTAGTAAAAACTAATAGTAATAACAGAAAAAATTTCTTAACAAAGAGATAATAAATGATTTCAAATAGAAAAATAAAATTTGGTCTATCAATAGATTCTCTTTATGGACGGATAGTTTAAAAAAATCCCAATAAAATAAAGAAAAAAGAAAACTATATAAAAAAGTTAAAAAAGCTACAATAGAGTACAAAAAATACATAGCTAAAAAATACATAGCTAAAAATACATAGCTAAAAAATACATAGCTAAAAAAGCAAAATCAGACCCAAACCGGCTGCATAATTATATCAAAAGTAAATGAAAAATTATTTAACATCGATTGAAGATTTTAATGCGTGTGTCATTATGGACCAAAAGCAGATTGCTGATACTTTGAATAAATAATTTTCAATCAGTATTTATAAAAGATAACAACAATATTTTACTAAACTTTGAAAAAAGTGTTTAAATTCACTACAGTTTATAGTAGTACCTCAACTGAAGTTATTAATATGATAAATCCTTTGAAACCAAAACAATCCATTTGACCAGATGGAATTTATCTTTTCGTATAAAAAGAATGTGTAAATGGTTTTTCTAATCTATTAACTTTAACTTTAACTATTTAACAAATCAATTTATGAAGGTGTAGTACTTTATTCACGGAAGGTGTAGTAACTATTTCACGGAAGACAGCAAAAATAATGCCACTGTTTAAAAATGGCAGTAAAAATAAAGTTTTAAATTATAAGCCAGTTTTCTTGATTTCAATTCTTTGTCAATTTTTAGAACGTTTAATATCTAGCCAACTCTTAAATTATTTAAAGGCTAACAATTTATTATTTTCTAATCAGCATGGTTTTACAAAAGGTAAAAGTTGCACATCTGATCTCCTAGAGTACATGAATACAGTTAAGACAGGTGTTGCAAACAGTAAACCATTTGATATCCTTTATACTGATTTCAAAAAAGCTTTAGACAAAGTTTCACATAGTAGAATAGCACTTGAAGCATATGGGATTATACCTACATCATTAAAACTTGAAGCATATGGCATTATATCTACATCATTAAAGTGGATAAATTCTTTTTTAACTGAAAGAAAGCAAAGAGTTGCACTTGGAGAATATGTATCATCATAGGTAGACATAAAAAAGATGTTTACCACAAGGATCTGTGCTTGGTCCGCTTTTATTTTTAATATACATCAATGATCTTCCATGTCAACTTACAAACCAATCGTTGTTGTATGTAGATAATTGTAAAGTAATGGCTGAAGTTAACAATGAACTAATGCAAACGCAAAATAACATTGTTATATTAAAATGGGTAATAAACTGGAAAATGCAATTCAATTTTGAAAAATGTAAAATCATTTGGTAACATTTTGGTAACAAAAATAAAAACGATAAATATTTCAAGACTAATAATAATAAAAAGCAAGAATTACTACTAAATTAAAAAAGGATCTAGGCATATCGATTTCAAATGGATATTAATGCACCTGAAACTAGAACCATAAATCAAAATTGCATCATCTATTGCAAACTATATTTTTGGAATAACATGCACAAAATCATTTAAGTATATAGTGAGCTAATAAAATTGATGTATAGTTGTAATATATGCCCGCATTTAGAATTTGAAAAACACGTATGGAGTCCTTATGTTAAAAAAGATATAAATATTTTAGAGTGTATTCAAAAACAACTAACAAAACCTGTACTGAGCTACAACATCGATCATACAATTTAAAACTAGAAAAAATGAAAATGACATCTTTAGAACAACGAAGAATATGAGATCTCATACAAATATACAAACGGTATGATATAGAGAAAACAACTTGGAAAATAACTCCTCAACATTTGTGCTTATTAAATTTTTCAGGACAATATTTAAATATTCGAGGTAACAAACATTATTTATTTGCTGAAAATAAATATTAAAACTGAAATCATAAGAGTTTTTTTTACACATTGCACAAATTCTGAAACAAATGACGAATTGAAACAGTGGAAGTTCACAATCCCAATTTATTTAAAGCTAAACTAGAGTTAATCGAGTACATCTAACTTTCTTCGTTTGTCTAATCGAGTACATCTAACTTTCTTCTTTTGTCTGTAAAAGATTTAATATAAATCTCAACAGTATTGTATATTATTATTATTATAATGTTTTTTAAATATTTTTTTAAAATGTTCAACAATGCTTTTAAAAATTATCCTCTGTTTTGTATTATTGACATAATATATCCATTATTGTGTTAATTATTAGTAAATAGCATGTATTATATGTAAATAATGAATTATATAAAAAAAAGCGCAAAAAATGTATATTTTATATTTTTACTCAATAGCAAAATTTTATTCAGGTTTTAAAATAACAATTTGTGCTGTTATTAGTTGCTTTGTTATTTTTATTTGCATCTTTTTGTTTTTTTGTAGTTCAAAAAAAAAATTATTGTTAAATGCATTTAAACATATTTTGAATAAATTTGAATTTTCAGGAACTTTTTAAATCATCATAAACTATTGCATAAAGTAACAAACTTTTTTACAAAGTTGCTTTTTTTAAAAAAAAAAAAATTGATCTGTGAAAAATTGTTTAAAAAATAAGTCCAGCAACAAATTACCTTGATGCCTAACAATGGAAAAATAAAAAAAAAAAGGCCCGCAACAAATTACCTCACCTACCAATGAAAAGAATCATCATCCTTAGTTTAAATTTAAAAGTTTTAGCATTAAAAAGTATTATTAAAATTATCATCAAAATACTTTATATAAAGTTTTATTTCTCTATTTAAATATATATCTCCATAAAGTTTCACAATAAATCTTTTGATCTCACAAAAATCTTAGTTAAAATTTATTAAAAACCATATTTTCAAATAAAAACCTGAATTTCAAGCAATTCTCCTTTCCATAAGCATCCAGCATCTTTATTATTGCAATAACACTTCAATTGTCCTATTTCTCTCATAAGATGTTTATCTTGAAATATCTCATTGTCATTGATAGGCTCTTTGTCTATAGGGCATACATCAGGATTCTTCCTAAAAAAATTTTTTAAATATTAAAAAAATGAATTAAAAAAAAAAAACCTAGTGCCATTTAAGTGTGTGCGACAGAGGCTAATCTATTGCAACAACTTTTTTTTTTCTACAAAAAGAACTATCATCTATTGCAACAACTTTTTTTTTTCTACAAAAAGAATTATCATATTATTTTATATCTACCTAAAATTCTTCTCTGTCTTTTTTGGAAAAAAATTTCCAAAAAAGACAGATAAGAATTTCAAAACACTAATATTCAAAGATAATAAACTGAGTTTTTTGAGCATGTAGTTAGAGTAAAATGATCAACTAAGCTGAATAACAAGTTATATAAACATGGTAGTATTTGTAGAAACAATAATAACATTCAATATTTGTAGAAACATGAATAACATTGAAGATTTAACTTCTGTTTTTTTTAAAAATAAATTTAGCGTTGTGCAATTTATAGACAATTCCTTATTGGATATATACAATATATGATTTAATTTTTGTAAAAATAAAAATTATTTAAAATTTAAAAAATTCTAACCTTTTCATACTAAAATAACAATATTTGCAGGCTCTTTCACCACGGAATGTTTGTATAGGATCACGGAAAACTAGTTTGCAAAAATAACATTTGTATTTATCAGGAAAACCGTCTACTAATTTTACATTGTATCCTTTTAGTTTATCTTCCTCCATTATTAAACCTAAAGTAAAAATCATTAGATGAATAAATTATAAGTTAGTTGATTAATGTAGTTTCAGCTGCATCTACAGCTATCAGGGTTGGCAAAAAAACCCAACCCAAAAAAACCCAACCCAAAAAAACCCACCTTAAAAAAACCCAATAAAACCCAAAAAAACCCAAAATATATTTGGGTTTTTTTAAAAATGACCTATTTTACAACTGATATCTCTGATTTTAACACTTATAAATGCTTTATTATCAGCAAGAGCAACCTTTATACTGTAATTACTCTTGTAAACACTGTATTTATATACATAATGATCTTTAGAATATACCCAAAATCGATCAATCTGTTTTTGTAGCAAGTTGGTTATTTATTATTTTTTTAAAACATTTAGCAAATTATTATAAATGTTATTGAAATATGTATTAAAACATTAAATTAGTTAAATACTTATAAAGGAAATAAAAATCATTCTATTAACTAAATTTCAAGACATTACTAGTTATTTAGTATCTTTATTTCTCCTCCCGAATGTCTATATTCCTTTATATTGGTATTTGATCTTTTATTTTTTAAAGCTTATGTTGTTAACTGCCAAAAAAATTTACTAAGCCACAAACAAAATACTATATATAAAAATTATTATACTTTATTTACAGTTTAGAAATGGAAAGTTGTCAGGCAAAAAAAAATGCTACAGTTTACTAGATTTGTCCTTAAGTGCATACAACTTTAAAACTTAAAAAAAAATTAAGTTATGTGCAAGCAAGCTTGCAACATGTTTGCTCATTCAATGAGAGAACATGTTGAAAACTTGTATGCATTTCACAAGGACAAGAATTTGTTGGTAAAAATGACACTCGTGCTCATCTGTCTTTTGACAGGTTTTGAATATTTTGCATCAGCTACAAGTTTACAACATGTACCATCAACAGGGGTGACTATGAACAGCAGGTTGAAAATTAACATCAGTATCAAGTTGCTAAAAGGTGAAGAAACACACACAATAGAGCTATATAATGTGTTACTTTGATTCGGTTTGCAATTTGCATTGCAAAACTGAGCCGGTAAAACATCTTCAAGGAAAAAAAAAAAATTGGTGGCGAAGACACTGTAATGGTTCTTAACAAATTTACTTTATATATATTTAGAAACAAAGTTTAGGCAAAAATCCATTTTTTGCTAGTCCAGTTGATCAGGCCGATAACTTTTCCAGGAAGCTGGACAGTATAATGTTCTGATAAAAAAAAAATGTAGTGATTAGGCTAGCAGTTTTCTTCTATGATACAAAAATGTTTAAAAAGTGTTCATAGTCATCCTGATTGATAATAACTTATAAGGTTGCAACATCATGTTGCAAACTTGTTGATTACATGTTGTAAACTTGTGCAAAGTAGTTTTTGAAATGATATGTTGAACATGCTAGTAAAAAAAACTAGTTTGCAACATTTATATTGTCTTACCAATTTTGAATAACTCAATTGCCATGATTTTTACACTGATTTTTTTTTAGTCAAAAATATTCTGAACATGTTTTTAATTTAGAGCAATTAATTAACATCATTTACAGTTGATGGAGTCCCTTTTTGCACTATAGGTAAAATGTGCTAACAGACTAGTAGCAAAACATTTGGCTCGCAACCAGAAGGTTAGGGTTCAAATTACCTCTGCTGAAATTACTGTCTCAATCTATTTCTCCACACAGCGCCTTTGTTTAAAAATTTTAGTTGTTAATGTTGTTTGTTAATAAAAATGGTAATGTTAAGGATTAAGAAAAAATATTTTTAAAAAATGAGTTGCTCCCTTGACTAAAATGGTCATTGGAGCAATAGGGAGGTGAATTTATGAAGTTAAATAAAAAATTATTGTACTCATACAATTATAAAAATTTGGTATTTTGATCGATTTTTAAAAGAACCCAAAAAACCCATAAAACCCAAAAAAACCCAATAAAACCCAAAAAAACCCATTTGGGTTGGTTTTTTTTAAAAAACCCTGGGTTTTTTCCAACCCTGACAGCTATGTCATACAATATGTAATAGAGTCAATGACAATTTTTTTCAGTCAATTTTTTTGACACATTAAAAACTTATTCTTTAAACTTATCCTATAGTTAAACAAAATAGTATCAAAAGTTGAGAGCTTTTGTTCTAAAAACAATTGAGTGAGACTGCAATAATTTTCATATTCAAAAAATATTATGGCACATTTGTTATAGCAGTATTGAAAGAGTTATAATATTCTAATGTTCCACATGGAAGTACTGCATAATCATATGCAATGTGATAGGAATAACTTTATTTTAATTAGGCTTGTAAAAATGCCTTATCAACATATTCACTAAAGTATATAAATTTTTAAATCTTTTTTGATATATCCATATCATCTGATAGATCATTTTTTATAATATGGACGAGGTATTTAAAGCTGCAGTTGACTCTCAATATCTCAGCTACTTAACATCTCGAACTTTTAATAATTAAAATATATCTCAAACTTTATTTCTGGTCTCTTGCATATTTGTTTGAGCCATATGGATTAAATTCTTTCAGCAGGGAGAACCATGATGGAGCTGTAAACACACACACACACAGATATATATAATATATATACTATATATATATATATATATATATATATATATATATATATATATATATATACATATACATATACATATACATATATATATATATATATAATATATATATATATATATATATATATATATATATATATATATATATATATATATATATATATATATATATATATATATATATATAAAAGGAATCTTCCTAATGATCCTACTGATGGAGAAACAAGCTGTAAAATAAAGTAAAAATTAGATAAGTGTTTACTAATTTATATATATATAAATACATATATATATATATATATATATATATATATATATCTATATATACACATATTTATATATATATATATACATATTTATATATATATATATATATATAATATATATATATATATATATATATATATATATATATATATATATATATATATATATAAATATATATATATATATATATATATATACCGCTATGCTTGGACCTAAATTTGATACACGTGTGATGATGTGGTTCTCTCTCATATTTATGCCAATGTAAATTAACTTGTTGTTGCTTATTCATGGACTTATAAATTAGTAATTATGATTTTAAAGAAAAAAAAAATTTGAGTGGGCTTCGGCTACCCTCCCTTAAGGGTTAAGGATAGGTTCAAGTAGCCCTAGTTGTGGGGCTGCTTGAACCCATAGTGTAAAAGCGCTGTAGTGTAGCTCAGCCCTGACCCTTTTGAGGTTTCCGGCAAATCTCTCAAATACCTGATGATGTCTTCTAATAAAGACTTTTACCCATTCGACACCTGGGAGATTTTCATTGAAATATTGAACATTACTCTCTCCTCGATCGAGATTTCACAATAGTTTGAAGATCAAATGAGGTCAGTGGGTAACCAAAAGTTTAAACTTTATTCAAATGATCACAAAATGACTGTTCTTCTTCAGGTGTGAAGACAGCTAGATGCCCTGCATGTTTTTTTGTGATGGTAAGGCGTTGTCTTAGAAGAGCTTTTTTAATGCTGGAGCGGCTGATTCTATATTGTACTTCAGCAAATTGTTGACTCATAGCTCCACGTTTAATATTAATACAGGCTAGCTCTAAGTTTTGATTGGTATAGTCTTTGTAAGTTCTAGATCCCAATTTTCTTTCATATCTGTGAACCATTCTGGTAGAACCAGTTATGATAGTACGAAGTATATACAGAAAGGTCTACAACAATAGCTTAACCAACTATCAACATTATTTAGGTATACATTTTATAGCCTAACAAATTTTAAAAACCATGGTTAAAATAAAAGACATATCAACTCCTATTAAATATATTATTACACTTTGGGGTTTAATGTTAATAGAAAACAGATTTAATCATTTTCAAACATAGGCTGCTACAATGATATTTAGGTTCAAGTAGCCCAGGGTTAGG